ATGACCTTCCCAAGTACTATATCTTATCTGTGAAAACTCCTCAATCGAAACAGCAAGAGACACAGAGCTCAATTTATTCGAATAATTTAGTCAATAAACTGGTTCACTTCAATAAAAGAACCAGTATCCAAAATAAAATCGATCGTCTTTCCGATACGCTCTTGAGTGGACGTTGGAAAGATGAACTCGTCAATGACATCTATGATCCTTCGTGGAACTGATTAATGAATAATCAATAAGGAGGCTTAAAAAACAGCTCTTGAGATTAATTCACTCCAGATTCTTTGAAAATCATCAGCAAATGAAATGTCTTTTTTTTAAAGCCAGTGCCGAACAAGATCAATCAGGAATATTGATGGCATGTCATGCGTTCATTGCGTCGTGTTTTTGATGGGTAAAACTCTTGAATTGACCAAGGAATAATGAACTCATGTCATAATTTATTATCGCCTGCGGAACAAAGCACAGGAATGATCATCGAGGCTTTGAAAGTATCTCTCGATATTTTTTCAATTTAAAAAATTATTTTGATCAGACATTAAAAATGTTTTTATAATCTGATCACAATGCATTCGAGTCATAAACTATCTAATAAGGAATGGTAAAAACTCCTCATTCGTTAGAACGCCATCCAACATCCCTAATAATCTTATAGCATGGTTTATCTGTGCAGAAAAAAGTTTTTCTTTCAGCTATACAAATTACATCATTTCATTCATCAAGTTTTGGCTCATTTCCAGAGTTTTTTTGGGTGATGACAGGAATTCATTGACATGTAGAGCTGCGTTGCGCACCCCAAAAAATTAAATTGAAAAATCCCCAGTGGATTCGTTGAAGATTAAATGCTTGTATTTTTGCTTATTGTTTTTTCTTTCATGACAGAATTGTTCTATTATTGGATTAGTTTTTCATTATTTCATACGCTTGAAAATTCCGTTGAATGACGCTTCCTTGTTCCGAAACTCAATTGGGTAATTGTCGCTTGCTTGGAGTTTACGAAGCACCACCATTATCTCGCTCATCAATAAATGAACAATAAATGAGCAGTAGTGTAACTGTTAATGTTCGGAAAATACCGTATTTACTAGAGCATCACGAGCACCATGGTTTTCCGTCATTTTTTATTTATTTATAAAATTCTATCCCCAGGTAAGGTACGTACTTCACTTTATTGACTCTAAAACTGCAAGTTCTCGAAAATAACTTCATCAAAATTATGATTTAGAAATGATTTATCCTGAATTCAAATAATTTTTCATTAAAATCAAATATAATGCACACTTGATCTAAAATTTTTACAAATGCACACCCGTCTTTAACGCGCTCCCGCATTTTACTTCTCAAATTTCAGAAAATAACATTTGAAAAAATTCAAATAATTTTTCATTAAAATCAAATATAATGCACACTTGATCTAAAATTTTTACAAATGCACACCCGTCTTTAACGCGCTCCCGCATTTTACTTCTCAAATTTCAGAAAATAACATTTGAAAATCATGGAATAAAAATTATTTGATGCAGAGAAACTGTGGAAACCATTAGTTACTTGGGAAAATTTGCCGGGGGATTTTCTCTCATGACACAGTGCAGAGAAGACAGGGATACCTAAGCTTTTTTTATTTATTGCTCGTTATTCGATAGTGATGAACCAAGTTGCGCAGTCGTGAATTCTAATGAAACTTCTCGATCACGTGTATTTCTAATTAAGGACGATACGAGAATACACAGGTTGGATGCATCGAGCCTCAAGCTATCAAAAGTAGTAATTGAAGATTAACAGCATACCTTGCTCGTCCAGTTAATGGAGTTCCGCCTCGGCGATTCAGCAACACTCGTGGAATGATGATGATGATGGCCCATTACAGCAGAAGTGGACTGGGATTTTAGCACAGCAAAGGGACTCGAGGCACCCAGTGGCATGGAATTGGTTCGCGTCGCTCGTTTCAAGCCCCGCGATGCTGCAGCACTCGAACTCGGCGAATTATTGCTGCTGCCAATAGTGTTGGAAGGGGCTCGTTTCTGCACGCGTCGTTTATTGCTCATCATCACCTGGGAATCGGCGCAGATTCGCTCGTTTTCCTTGTCGGCCGAGGCTTTGGAGTAATCTTCGTTTTCCGCGATCGGTGAGAGAATCGGCACAGACGCGTGTTCCAGGGATGCGGACGAGGGCAGAGAGGAATAGTTTCGCTCATCCTCGTCGCGAATTAGTTGGCGGAAAGTGACGAGTTCGCGTCGGAGGGCGTCGATTTCTTGGCGCAGAGTCGCGTTTTCTCGGACCAGGTTTTCAATGGTTTGTTGCTGGTGACGATCGCGCGTCGACGCGTCTGTCAAGAGTCTTTTGGCTTGTTCTCGCTGAAAATATCACAATAGAAAATTTATAAGAATCACCTTTCGTTTCATAGATAACCTCAGGTTTTTTCAAGGAAATTTCCTGCAAATCACTGTTTTCTCTCGGTGATAGATGCAGACTGACTTCGCTTAACAAATTCAGACTCCTTAAAAATTTCATTAAGTTCCTGACACACCTGTTCACAGATTTGAAGAGGTTCGATCAGAAAATTTAAAACTGTGAAACTAATTACAGGAAGTTAACATTTGGTAGCATATCCGGCAGGCTTAATACGACTAAATAACGTTTGATAAGCTTATACTTTTTATCGCATGTGTGTCCCCTTTCAACCTTCCGGAAAACTTGGAAGTATTTTTATTATGAATTACGGAAATACAATACAGTCTATTTTTAAACCCACAATCCAATTTAACGGTACGCAACTCAACATTATAGGCGTAGAAATGGTTCGCAGACGGGAAAATTAAACATTACATTTCAAACAGCTCTCATGCTCGTCTGCTCATTTTGACGCAGTTCTCGTGAAAAATTTGAATAAAATAATTCCAATGAAAAAAATTAAATTAAATGGAGTAAAATTACCAGTTCTTCCATCGAGATTTTGACATCGTTTTTCATGATGACGCGTGAAGTTTTAAGAACGAATGCAGGTAGACAATTTGTACAACGAAATTTAGGTGAAAAAAAATGGTTGAAGATAACCCATGCAAGATGGGTAGAGAACCCCATGGGACCAAACAAAAATCCATTATACAGAGAAAATCATTTTCGACAAGATTGTTGTAGAGGGTGTATACTGTACTGTACTCGAAAAGTTTTCAACTTTCAGGAGATATGAAAAAACTTAGATTGTCTACAGCAGGTGGATTTAAAAAAAAAAACAAGAACAAATTCGTTATACAGTACAGAAAAAATAATTATAGACAAGATTGTTGTAGAGAGGGAGCATACTTGTAATTGTAAGGAAAAACTTTCAACTTTAAGGAGCAATAAAAAAACTGGATTGTATACAAACAGATTCTCTCCAAAACGATTTTCTCTGGATAACGAACTTTTTTTTTATCCCATAAGGTTTACCTCCCCATGCTGTAAGGATATTATGCATAACGATCGAAATTTTCTTTAAAACGAAATTTTTTATGGACCCTCATGAATTTCGTCTAGAGAGGGAGATAGTCCACCTGTGGTCGGATCGTCCTCAAAATTCGCCGAGGGATAATTTTTTTTTTCTTCAAGGGTTGAAAAAACCACGTACCTCAGTGAGAAGTTCCTCCTTGGTTCTGAGCAACTGGTTCGCCAGGACAGCGCCTTCCTCCTCAGCCTGCAGCAATTTGTCACGCATGGCCGCAAACTCTTCCGCTATTTTGCCCCCACTTCCGTCAGCACCCGAGTCCATCATGACCGACGACAGCTCTTCGCCCAGCGACAAAGGCAGGGTCAGCAGCGAGCCTGTCGACCCGCAGTCAGCAGGGTAGCACGCACTCGCGTTGACCCTGTCTTGCTGATGGTGATGATGAGCAGCCTCGTCCACGCGTTTCTTCAAAATACTCCTCGTGGCTTTGGCTGTTGCCGAGTTCTCGTCTTGGTCAATGCAGTCCGTCATCGAGGGTCTTCCGTGGTGGCCGTCCATCACTTGACTCAATCCCCGGAATTCCGCCTCCAGTTCGGCCAGCGTGGACTTTTCCAGGGATGAGCAGGACACGCAATTCTGTTTTGTTTGCCAGGAGATGCATGAAAAGTTGGACAGGTTTAGATGAGAACGCCCAACTTTTGAATGAAACTGGAGCAATGGACGATGTATACATTATACAGTAGTAAGAGCCAAGGACACGTTAACAAAATAAAAACTCGCATCATGATGCAATTTGAGTCATGATTGTTGTTTCAAGTGATGTATGCGAAAATGTACTGTAATTCTGATGCTCGGTGAAGGACCAAGATCATTCTGTTATCAAATGATCAAAAAACAGATAATTCGGAATCAAGGATTGCGTTTGAAAAGAAACCATTCTGAAGAGCCTTCAATTAACATTTGTCCTTCAAACAAAGTTACGATTCTCTCATAGAAACACATCAACATGCTGAATAGCATTGAAGAACGATACAGATCGGTTTTAAACGCATAATTTGCAGTTCTTGCTACACAAAATGCATGTGAAGTACTCGTATAAGAGTTTACGATCAGGCAATTTATTTATATAGTCTCGAATGCCAGAGTTAAACTTGTAAACTTGAATTCAAGTGCACAACAATCGCTGCATGACCTACTGCTTACGGAAAATAAGATAAAATTTCACAAAAATGAATTGACGATCTCGTGCGAGAAGTTAATGAGTTTCCCATGAAAATACATTTTCAGACCCCAATTTAAATATAAATGTTACAAACACAATGTTGATTCAAGGTATCCATTTTCTACTGGGAGGAAAATTGGCTACTATACTGTACTAAATATGTTTTCTCAAATCTTTAAATCGTGTCGATATCACGAATTATCGATTAATGATGTGAAGAATATTCCACGAAACATAACTTGACTCCTCGAGCCTTTCAACAATTCCGCCCAGATATCATTTGTGAGCTTTCTTGATCGTCGCAACGGAATTGAAAAAATACCCAATTCATAAAAAGATGATGGAGAATACCCAAAAAAGAAGGTTTTTTGGGTATTCTCCATCATTTTTTATGAAAGATGAAGTATTTATTAATGCTTTCGAAAAAAAATGGCGAAGGGCAAAAAGTTTGAGACGTAGTCGAATTCTTAAATGCAAAATCTGCAGTATTTTATTCATCCACTCAACGGATTCAGCTCACATTATTCCATTCTTCGATTTACTGTACCACGAAAGCAAGACGAAATAAATAACCTGACCAATAATAAAAGCGAACGATCCGCATTTCGTTTCCCTGCACTGCACTTCATGTATCCCCGTTATAAAAAAAAAAAAAACCTTGACGGTTCTTGACCTCGGGCCTTTTTTCAAACTCGATCAAGGCCTCAATCAAGCTGAGCGACGGACACAGGCGAAAGTAACATCAGAAGTACAGTACTGTACTGTGTACTGTATTCGGGTTTTTTAGTTCTGGGTGAAATTACTGTACGTGAGGCACTAAGCACAAGCTCATCTTCGTTACGCCTTGGGTACAATTGATGGACTTTAAACATGTATCCTGCTACTATTTTATAAAATTTGAGAAAGCCCTTTTAATATGTTTCCAACATGCTCAGATGTAGCTGATCACCCGCATTTCGACACATACGTATCTGCTATTCATTTTTGAAATCCTATCATTTTTGAATGCGTGGTATAGCAAATCCACAGGATTAGCAAACAATACTGTACTCTCCTTTAATCAAATTAAATTTATTAAAACATTTGCAAAATTTAACACATATTGCCCAAGTGTGGCTGGGCACGTACCTCCAGCTTGTACAGTGAGACCCCAAAATACGGACACCCTGACATACGAACAATTGAGCTCGGGAACAATTGAAACATTTCAAAATCTGACCCGAAATCCGGACAATATCATCTCAAAATACGGACTTTCTTCCAACATCTAGAAAGCTGGGATATTTCATTTTTCAAAAATTGGATATCTTTGGAACAGATTGAGCTATTAGTATTCATAAACTATGCAAACGCAATTTATTATAAATTTATTCGAATTTATAGTAAAAAAGGTGAATTCTGTGCTTCTTTTTTGGGTATTCTCCATCATCCGTGCACAGTCCAGCAGGATTTGTACATTTTCTTTTATTTTTGGGATTCTTCTGATGCCAAAAGATCAGATTGAGTGTGGTTTTATTTTGAAAATTTATTTTCTGTATCTTTAAGTTATGAAACAATTTTTTCATATTTTTCGGGAAAAGGGTTCCTAATTTTTATGAACTGGTGAGCCAATTAAATAGGTTCCCATCAAAGTCTATAGGAAAATGAGGTCCGAAATGCGAACGTTCCAACACAGGGACGGACAAAAGGTCCAACGTCCGCATCTCGGGGTCCCACTTATGTAATGCACTGTACTCACCCTCGTCGCTGCCCGAATGAGTTCCAGCTTGCTGAGCACTCCGGATTCCCCGACACCAACAACACTGCCGTTGCTGGACACGGAAACAACGGAAGCGCCTCCGGCGTCGACACTGAGGCGCTTATTGATGATGATGTTGCTGCTGCCGCCGCCACCGGCAGAGTCGCCGCTGCAGCGCCGGGACGAGCGCGACAAGTTATCCTTGGCGTCGCGGAGTTGGGACGCCAACTCCCGGATCTCGTCGTCCTTGGACACCAACTGCAGATTGAACTGCAACAGACTCCGTTCGTACTTGTTCTCTTCGCGCTGGAGCTGGGCTTGGAGCGCCACCAACTGCTCGCCCATAGAGCGCAGCTCGTCCTGCAAAGAACCGTTTGTGGCGTCCACACGCGACAAGTGGTCTTTGGCCGAGCGCAGTTGTGCCGTGAGTCTCGAGATCTGCGCGCAACAAACCGTGAAGCATTACAGTCACGAGATTTCGAAATGAGGGATCATGAACAAATCAATTACAACACTCTTTTTTAATTCGAAAACTCATTCGAAGCATTCATCTAGAAATTCTAGTTTCATTACTAGGCTAGTAAAATAGCGGCGTTAAAATTGAAGAAAACGACGGTTCAACGAAAAATGAAGTCATGAACAAAGTATATATACAGTATTACGGTGTAGAATTTGAATCGCATGTGACAATATATGGTCTTTTTCAGGATGATCGAATATCACGGTTGATCAAATAGGTTTGAAAATATTGAAGAAATAGGGGTGGAAAAATTTGCAATGACCAGGTGCATTAGTTACAGCATTTCCATTGATCCCCAGCGGAAATGGGATTGTGAGTTCCGGGAATTGCGATCAACAAACCTTGAAGCATTACAGTCAAACGATTTATAAAGGCTGCATCATAAAAAAATCAATTCTAACCCAAACTCGGAAGCATTCATCTAGTTTCATTTCTAGGCGAAAAATTAGTGTGAAATTCGAAGAAAAAATCGATACAACAAAAATTATATACCCACGGAAAAGTTTGAAAATTATGGAATAGAACTTGAATCACCCGGGCTCATGTGACGATAAGGGTGCTTTTGAGAGAATGATAAAATATCACGGTGGATCAAATACTGCTGGAAATATTGATTAAATAGGTGTGGAAAAAATATGCGATGACCAGAATCCAGACTTATTAGTTTCGGTATTTGAAATGAATCCCGAGTGAAAATTCAATTTGACTATGTGAGTCATGAGATCTGCGCGCAACAAACCGCGAAGCATGACAGTCACGTGATTTCAAAATACTTAATCACGAAAGTCAATTCCAACAATCTTCTTCATTCGCAATCTAGGAAGCAGTCGTCTTGATTCATTTCTAGGTAAAAAAAAAGTGGCGTACAAAATTGACGGTGATTCAACGAAAAGTGAAGACATGACAAAATCTGTACATTATCGAGTAGAATTCAAATTGTACGTGAAAATGAAATGGGCTTTTTTCAGAATGATCAAAAATTAGGGTTGATCAAATGCCGTTGAAGATGTTAATTAAATCGGAGTGAAAAAAATCTGCAATGCCCTGACGTACAGTATTCGTTGTGTCATTTCAATAATTCTCCAGTGGAAATGTGATGCGATTCTCGAGATATGCGCGGAAAAAACCATGAAGCATTAAAGTCACAGGAATTAAAAATTCGACATTATGAAAACCAATTTCAACACTTTTTCCATTCGCAAACTCGGAAGCAACTAGATTCATTTCTGGGGGAAAATGGCGTTAAAATTTACGAAAAAGTGGACCCAACAAAAAATAAACTTCCACGACAACGCCGGCAAATTGTGGATTAAAACTTAAATCGCAAACTCGAAAGGACTTCAGTCACGAGATCTGAAGTCCTTTCTAGATAAAGAAATATTAGCGTGAAACTCGAAGAAAAAGCCGATCCAACGAAAATTGACCGTACATGAAAAGTCTGCAGATGATTCGCTTGAACTCCGATCGCCCAACTTTCCCAGGATCATCGAAGACTGTTTAAAATTTTAATTAAACAGTGGGCAAAAATCTGCTATGACGGAACATATCAACTTCAAAAAATCCCCAGTGGAAGTGCGATGGGAGTCTCGAGATCATCTGCGTTCAAAAAAGCGTGAAGCATTATGGTCAAGCAATTTCAAAGTACCACCGTGGAAGCTTCAGCACTCATTTTCATTCCGATTCTAGGAAGTATCCATCTTGCTATTAATCCAACAGCATGACCGCAAAGTAATTTCAAAAATATAATTTCGATTTGTTCCAATTTTTTTTTACTGAGATATGTGCAATTAATTTTCTGGAGCAAAACAAGCAACAATTTATAGAACCTGCACAAATTAAAATCACGAGGAGGTGATGTATTTCATTGAATAATTAAGTGAGAAACCGCTTATTCTGGCTAATGTGATCAATGTGATCAAATAGCATGAATAAAAGATGAAAGTAACATTTGACTGAACAACTTACCACGGAATGAGATTGTTCAACGTGAGATTGTCTGATTTAGCATTTTTACTTTTAAATCCCATTAAATTCATATTTTTAACGACTCAATTATACTTATTTTACTGCTGTAATAAGCTATCATTAAATTATTAAATTCATACAACAGAGAAAACAAATCTACAATTACCTGCAAATATCACCGAACTTTCTGGCCGAGTGTCGATTTTGCCGCAAGTCACGAGATTTGAGCGCAACAAAGCGTTAAGCTTTGCGGTCATGCGATTTCAAAATACCACCAAACAATTCAAACACTCTTTTCCATTCTTATACTCGAAAAGCCTTATCTTGATTATTTTGTGGGTGAAGAGGCAAACAGATAAAAAGCAGATCCTGCCAAGCACGAAGATAACAAGTTTTCAAAACGCTTGAAATGCACTACAGGTGAATTAACTCTCTCCACAACGATCTCGTCTATAACAATTTTCCTTGAACAAAGAATTTTTTCTCGTTGCTTTAATTTCGATGGGGAGTCCATCAGTATTAAAATTGAGCTTCTCCATAATACAGCTGATGTTTTATTTTATTTTTATCGAAAAATGAAACTAATACGCGAGGAATCTCGATAAGCTGTAAGAATACCTTTGGGAATCAACATTTTAAGCAGAGGTTATCGGACTCAATCAATGGAGTGACGGATAATAAACAAATTTATGGAACTTTACTTTTTTATTTTCTATTAAGTTTTCCACGAAAAAAACTGGGCCCTTTAATCGTGAACAGAAGAACTTGCACCGCTCATAATGGCGGATAAAGCCTTTTTGAAGTTTTTCAGAAGAGTGTAAGGATATTTTTCATTTAAACCAGATACTTTTCAATCACCATGGTACATAGAAAAACTTGCAATCCTATCAGCTTTCAAAGTGAGTCGAGTATCAGTTTAATCTAATTTCGGAAAGTTTCAAAGGTCAGATAAACAGCTGAAGAATTCCCCTCTGAAAATATAAACGAAGTTTCATCGTACAATAAGCATTTTTAAGGGACGTTTCGAGAGTCCTTTAAAATAGCCCCCAAAGAACTGAAGCGAGTTTAAGATCTCATGAAAGTAAGTATAATAAGATATTAAGTAACCAGGAAACGCCGCACTTCAAAGATGGCAATAATGAACTGGTGATTCCCATCACAGCTAATTTGCATTTATTCGATTATTCCTCTTCTATTCGGGAAACATTCAACTACATTTCCCAAGTAATGACATTTTTTTGAAAACGATATAACTAGTATCGTACATGATTCCTTTTTTCATGTGACATTTTTCCGTAGTACAGGACACGGTTGAGCAACTTCTTCGCAGAAAAATCCTTAATAAGATTAATGATTAGTTATTCGCAGGAGAACCGTTAAAGAACGAACCCGTGTTTACAAACTTTCTTTGAAAGAGTCAACATCTCACCGTAGTTTAATTAAAAACTAGAAAAAAATAATTTTGAATTCAGAGCAGGACTTCTTTGAAAAAATCCCATGAGTATCACTACGTCAGTCGGTATAATCAAGACAATTTCAGACGAAAAAATTGGCTTTCAGAGGAGTAGCATAAAAGTTTAAAAATTTAATCCACAATGTTCGAATTTGGGATTGAATAGAGTGAAAGCATGATCGCAAATTATGCAACATTTTTTAAATTTTTTTAAGGGAGAAATAAACCTAAAATAATAAATACCAGAATAATGCGGGATACTTGGTATCCTGAAGTACACAATTCGCGAAAACGTCCCGCCTGCTTTGAATGAGACCTGCCAATCCACGAAGGATTCGA